AGGACCCCCAGAGCCTCCCTCGGGTCTCCTCAGGACCCCCCAGAGCTCCCTCAGGTCTCCTCAGGGCCCAAGACAGGCCTTTAATAAACACCAGCCCCAGCAACCATGTAGCTCATTCCTCACGTAGGGCGAGCTGCGGTGCTTGCCAGATTCTTACACCATTTTTCCGCTGTGTGCCTTGGAGAATGCTGCTCCTATGGTTAAGGAAGTGGGATGCAAAGCACTGGGAATTTGTCAGCGCCGAGCAGGAATCAAGTTAGTGAGTGTGTTTTGCTTCCCGTAATGACAGGAGGATCGTGCGATGCCGTGTGGAGTACGTAGAGAAGCGCACCGTTGCCTGGCACTCTAACGAGGCAGTGGTTATAAAATTGGATTCCGGCTATGGTTGTAATTGTGCTGGAGTTTAGGCTTTGGTGTTAAAATAAATTAGAGAAGCTAATGCTTGTCTTGGGCTGCAGACCTTTACAGGCTTGGAGGTGTTGCTGTGGAATGTAAATGTGCCCTTTCTTTGCATAAAAACATTGTTCCAGATATGCGTTTTCTACTTCAAGGGGCCATTATAGGCACCTAATTCTATATTGGTCACCAAAATTGTCTGCAGCAGGCATTTCAGAAAGTGCTTATTACTTTTTCATATACCCAGGACAGCTGAATATGCTGCGCCAATTGGCGACAAGATCCCAAAGCTGCCACTCGTCTTGAAAATCTAAATTGATGCCTGCAGCACTGATGTCAATTTGTATGTATAAAGGCTTAATACAGCAAAGGGAAGTGTCCTGGCAGACAGCAGGAGGAATGTCTGAGAAAAGAACGAGAACCATAAAGGATACTTTATCAGCCTAATGTCTGTTTTATTCGCATGGAATAAGATTTGCTGATTTTACGGGGGTGGAATCCTGTTTCTGCTACCCATTTGATAGCTATTTCTGCTGTCATTGCTAAAGCATTAGCTAGGTCATTTGAAATGTGACTGCAAAATACATTAAGCTGCAGATCACCTGCGGTGTGATGGTGCTTGCTCTTGACACTTTGTCCCTGTGCCCTCTCCCCTGCAGCAGCCATTCCCTCCTCAATAAGGAGAGCCCTCCCCTAGTTTTCCGAGCTTGTGCAGGGGAGGCATTACCCGCCTTGTGCTGAACCTGTGCCAGCATCCCAAGGACAGAAGAGCTGTGTCATTTTATCCTGACATGTTTCTGTGGATACTATTCTTATTCATGTATCCATTTTAATCATTTCTGTTTGATGTCATCGAGCAGCAATGCAGTGTTCTGGTGGAGTTGGCCCCCAATGTGAAATAGAAAACCAAGCTGACATGCCATCCACGCTGCTGAATAGATGGCTCTGCAGGGCAGGTGCACCTGTCCGAGGCACCTAGCAGAGCTTTAGCTATTAGCAAAATCATTCCAACTTACCTAACCAAAACAGAAATCTGTTTACCCTTCACGAACTGTTCAGTGTCTTCATGCTGCTTTTCTGTAATGAATTATGGACTATTTTTAGCCTGCACTAGGATTTTCTAACTCCCATCCTAGTACGTTATCCTATGCTTTAGAATAAACCGGCCTTTGAGCAAGAAGTCTCACAGATTTCACAGCAGTGGCCAATAAATGTGAGAAGAAAACTGTCCAGCAGTATTCTCATTAACTGTGTGTCCACAGTTGTTCAGTCAAATCTTTTTGAGCAGAGTTGAAGGTCCATTCTGGAAATCACACGTCTCGTGATTCTTGTGGGCCAAGCTGGTGAGAAGTGGAAGGGACAGAAGATGATCTGCGTTCTGGAGGAGCGTAAGGGTCACCAGCATCCTGCGCTGCACCGAGAAGTCACCTAAGCTGCTCCGTGACTGTCCTTCTCACAAGCCTTGAAATGAGGTGGTTTTTGCTATGGAGGTTTAAAATATGACTTGTGTGTTACTTTTATCCATTTCCAGATTGCTGACCCGGAGACCTGTGACCAAATGTATGAGAGCTTAGTCAGAATCCATACCAACTACTACAAAAACAAGGTGAGCTTTGGCATTAGCCAACATCCTTCTTTTAGGGGGTGGGTCCCCACCCGCTGCAGTTGCCTGCCTCATCTCAGCAGGGTTTCTGGGAATGTGTAACAGGCAAATGAGTGGTTGGGTGGATGCAGCACTACCTGGTACCTTTGGTCACTCCAGGAAAGCTTCAGCCACCTTGGCCTCTGTGACATGTATGAACAATGCAGATGATAGTTCTTGGTATGGATGGACAGAATTCCTGGAGTGTGAGTGAAAATGATCTGGGACTCTACTGTATGGTGACATTTTAACCTTTTTTAATGCACTACAAGTAACATCTTTTTCTCTCTCTCTCATCTACTTGCTTGTTTATGAAGTACCCACGCCTGAAAGACACAAGCTTCACTGGAGTGACAGTAGAAGATTGCAAGATGATACTATCAACAGGTACTGATAGTGTGCTTGATTTGAGAGTCGGTCAGTGCAGGGGATGAAGTCCATTCTAGTCTTTGTCGTGTTCACTGCATTGCTTCTACTAAACACCTGTGACTACGAGCCAGAATGGGACTGTCGTGCTAGTAGAATGTTTAATGAGGAGTAAGTTCAGGAATAATTGAGGATATCTTCAATAATCTAATCTAATTCAATAAGAGCAAAACGTCTGTTGTATTTTGCACTGGGCAGGAACAGCAAAGGGCTTGCAAGGGCTCTCTGAGATCAGATAGCAGGAACTGTGTGAGAGAAATGCACGTTTGCTGCATCATTCCAAAATGTAGCTCAGCCTCTGTTTCACCATGTTCAAATTCCCTTCAGTATTCTTTTGTATTAGACTTTGAGAGGGAACAGTACTGTGCTGCAGAAATACTCTCAGCCAGATCATTTATCAAGTGCAGCGTAGGAAGCTAGTGCAGTTTTGTTCTGCTCCAGTTCCTAACTTTGATTGCAGTGTGTAGAAACTGAATATTAGTTGCTAGTGATAAGGGACTCCCTGCACAATTGATTGGAAGGAAAACAAACTTGCCTCAGGCCCTGAAATAGAAATTCATTAAGAAGAAAAGTCAAAAAAAGGAAAATACATGTAAGGCAAAGCTGTTCTAAGAAGGCTTTCATTCTTTTGCTTTTCTTTCTCTTTCCCCATCTCTTTCCTTCTCTTCTCCTTTTGCAGATATTCTGAAACAGATGGAAGAGATGAAAAAAGGGCCATGGAAAAAACTGCGAGAAAAGTTTTATGCCAAGAAACCTGAAGAGGACTCAAAGTGATAGGCTAACTCCAGATTCTTCACTGTATATATTCCTAAAGCGCTGTATGTTGCCATGATGAATAAAACCATTTATTCCTCTTAGCAACAGCATTTTTGTTCAGACCTACACTTCACACCCTTCATATTTAGTGCCCCCCTTTTTTTTTTCTTTAAAATCTATGCCACAGCTTAACACATCTGTGCTGAAGCCATATTGGCACAATGTAAAGAACTTTGTGAGGTTAGACCTGATCCTTTGTATTACAATAAATGGAACAACCAGGAGATGCACAGAGCAAGTAGGTGCAGCCACGGTAGCTTTAAATTTGCTTGTGATGATGTGACAATGTGGCTCTGCTCGTGTTTCTGTGTGTTAGCACTGCTGACAGTGAAATTGAGGGATGGATAACTTTAATAGTCACATTTATTTTCCTTTGGAGAAGATAGAAGAGAGGACTGAGGGGGGGGGGCTGTTTCCTGTGGTGACAGTGGAGCAGTGTAAGCGTTTAATTGCGATTTCAATCGAGTGCTGTGGCGGTGTGGTGCTGGTTGAGCTAGCTCTATGCATATCTGAGGGATAAAGGTAGGTTTTAATGACATGTTGGTATAGAGGGCCATAAACAAATTTCCAGTGTGCTTAGTCCATTGCTATGGCCTATTTTTATTCCTTTTTTAAAGCTTTAAAGCTTGCATCAGTGTCTGTTCCTGGTAGGCAGAGGCAGTTACCGCACTGCTTGGCTGGGGAAGGATGAGTGTCTAGAACACAGCTGTGCCAGGACTCTGCTTGGCTCCAGGCAGCACCAACAGCTGCTCCTTTTCATGTATTTGAAGAGTGCTTTCCTGGCAAGTAGTGAAAGAATTTGAAACTTTGCAGCATCCAAAGCTTCAGAAAACAAGGCTGATAGTTCTTCATGGTAGTGTTCTGGAGCATCATCGTACCTTTTAACATTTAACAGCTGGAGCCGAGAGGATTGGGTTGTGGAGGACCTTGGGTAATTCAGCCCTGGTGTGGTTTCAGGTCCTTGGCTTGCTCTGTATTTCTATTTCTAACAGCCCCATGACATACCAGAGTGCACAGGGAGCTTTCTTTACCATGTTTACGTTTTTATTATAACATGATTTTGTATTTAATTTAGTTAAGGCAATTTACACTTCAGTTTTTAAGTAACAACAGTAACAAAAAAAAAAAAGTAAAACATTACACCAGAGATGAAACTAAAACACAGGACACCCCTTCACAGTGAATTCCTGTAAACCTGCAGTCTCCTACTACTACTGCCCAGATCTCCTTGGTCCACAGAAGGCAAAAAAACTAGTTCACACTAGTACAAGCTTGGGAACTCATCAGGTGAGTTAAATGAACAAATCCATCTCCTTGAGTTTAGCTCCTCTTTACTGCACCACAGTGACGAACAGAATTCTTTAAATGGAGAGGGATCGGCATGGAGCAAGTACAGCAAATACGATGGCTGGTTTGCAAAGATCCACGTGTACTAGTGCCACTCTTGGAATAAGTTAAATATTGCAGCCCTACAGCTAGTTCCACTACACCCGAGATGGAGGCCGTCAGAATGTAGCACATGGAGATAAAGATACAACCCTCCACATTTGCAAAATAAAACGAGTTATTGCAATGAGGAATAAAAGTCCTGTATAATTTATCTTCCTACAAGGGCATTAGAGTAACTTGTGGGTCCAGGTATCGTGAGGAATCCTGGCCAGTCCCTGGTTCCCGAATTGCTTACAGCGATCTAAGGAAAACATTGACGGTGAAGCCCATCCGCACGGTCCGGCTTGCTCTGACAGTGGTGTCCAAGCGTGGAACCCAGGAACAAGCAGCCTCGTTAGCTGATACACGTGTAGTCCCTCGGTGGGTGAAGCCGATGCTTCTTCCGCATTCTTAGTGGTTCATGCTATTCTGGACATCCACAAACCCCATCCTTTGTCTGCGCTTCCGCTGCTCTGTCATCTACAGGTCACACAAGGACACAAGTGAGGTAGGAAGCCAGGCTGCCTTTCTGTTCACTAACACGCTCCTCAGGCTGCTTTAAGCATCTGCCAGAAACCCTCTGAGCTGGACTCCAGCTAATGAGGAAGTTAAATACCAAAAATCACACATCCCAGCTGTCCCTGACCCCCCCAAAAAGAGCTGCAGGAGCTCTTTGTATCTGAAGTTGTCCCAGCTTGGGCTGGTTCTGCCTCCTGTTCCTTGCAATTGGTGTCTATTTTGGTAAGGACAGTGAGTTGCTACAGTCAGGTTCCTCTTTTTAAAGTGTTTCATACCTGTTCCTTCAGCTCGTTCAGCTGGGAGGTGAGGTGGGACACCAGCTTCATCGTGGTGTTGAGTTTGTCCTGGAGATTTCTGATCTCGTTCTGTTCCCCTTCCCCCTCATTGCTGACCAGCGACATGGCTCGCATCCGGGGGAACCAGTCAAGGTTCTTGTTCTGGAAAGGTGACCATGGAGAATGGGAGTTTGAGAGGAGGAGGGAAGAGACCCCGTAGGATTTAACAGGAAACCTGCCTCTGCTTAGGGATTAAAGACATTCTCAAAGGCTCATCCTGGCTGTATCTTTGCAAATTTTCCATTAATAGTCCATTTCTAGCCTTTTTTTCTTACAGCCTTCTGGGCTCAAGTCCAGAAGTTTTTCTTTTCTAAATTTCCTTTCCCTCACTTCTTGCCTTGCAATCACCTTGAAGTCACAGTCCCAACTGCTTGGTTCTGCCCTGGGTTAATCCTTAAACACACAATTCACAACATCAAACAGACAACGTGGTGTGGCTCAGATTGCAAAGTGGGAACAACCAGCTAAAAACGAACTACGTTACTAAATATTTCCCAAAAGCTCCTTCTCAAACCTCTTTTTTCTTGGGCAAGCCCCTTGTTCTCTGCTATTTCCCAGGGCAGGAGGCAGGTTGCAATAACGAGCTGCCCTGGGAGGACACGGACCTTTATCATCTGCGCCACGTAACTCTCCGGCCCCGTGTAGTCTGTCTTGTTCTTCACTCGCACCAGCACTATGAAGTACAAGTAGTTCCACATGTTGTGCTCGTATTTAATGTGCTCCTCGAAGGACACCGTCTTGTTGTCAAACTTGTCCCTCTCGAGCCCTGGGAAAGGCAGGTAAGAGGTGAGCGGGCAAGCGCCGGTGAAAGGAAGTACAGACCATTGCATCCTCTCCCAGGCGTGACTTGCAAGAAGAGCTTTTAATAATCAGCCGGCATTTAGCACATGAGCAGCCAAAACGGGGAAAATAACCCAGGACTGTATTTGGGAGGCTTCCATTTAAAGGACTAGCTGGGCTTCCTGCACAAAATGCACCCAGTGGATCTTCTGAGAAAAAAGCAGCTAGGTTTACTGGATTTTTCCCTTTTTTTTAGATGCCTTCTGATGGCTGAAAGCATTCCAGAACATTTTCTGTATTTTATTTTCTTAGTACTATGGTGCTTTTTTTCCCCCCACTAGCTAAGTGATGGTCTCAGGAGCGCGAGATGCACAGCCACAAGAACTCTGCAAACTTTTTTCCTTTCCTTAACCTTAGGGGAAAGGAAGAGCTTTGGGGCAATTCCTCCACACCCAGGTCCCAGCACTCACCACATATGAAGCAGGTCGTCTTCAGGATCTCTTCTTTCTTTTGCTTCTCGCTCCTCAGATCAGCAAAGGTATCAATAATGACCCCAAAGATGAGGTTAAGGACGATAATAATGACAATAAAGAAGAAGAGGAGGTCGTAGACAACCCGAGCAGGAAACAAGGACTCCTGGAAGGGATGAAAGGGATAAATGTGGGTAAAATAAAAAAATGTGTGTAAATAAAAGCGCTGGGGGACAGTGTGGGTGACAGAGCGGGAGGTGTCACAGCTCCCAGGGAGGGAGGGCACAGCAGTAAACACAGCAGGACTTTGCAGAAGAAAAGGGTCGCAGGTGCTGCCCAAACTCACATCCTTCGACGGCTTCCGCAGAATGTCGCCCACGCCCCCGCCGTTGCGCAGCCCGTGGTTCAGGACCGTGACGATGCACATGAGCAGCGTGTCGCAGGCGCGTTCCCACTGCTCGGCGGCTGTTTCTAGAGTACCAGAGGGGGAAATAAAAGCAAAAACCCAGAGCATAGGCAGAGCTCCAGTACCAGACCAGTACAAAGAGTCCAGAGCTGCTGCAGCGATGCAGCGACAGATCTCCTGGGAGCAGCGGCTCCTCGGGGGTCTCCCAACCAGCAACTTCCCAGCAGCTCCTCCAGCAGCTGTGGAGGTGTTTGGCTCAGTGCTCCCGAAGCTCCCACTTCCTTTACAACTACATTGAATCTGCTTCAACATTTTTTTATGCCAGGGTCAGTGCAAAATTTGAAGGCCTTTTGCCTAATACGTGCCAGAAAGTGGGTTGTTTGTTTCCATCTCTGACAAGTTCGGATTTTTCTGAGCTCGCTGACAAACCAGGCAGCCAACCTCCCCTGCCACCAACAGAGCCAACCCTTCTAATGAGCTCCCTTACCTTGCAAGGCAGTGGGCACAGCAGAGCAGCTGATTTTGTCACCGCTGCACGACTCCATGAAGGTCTCCACGTTCCTTTGCATCCCCAAGGGGTCATCTGCAAGGAAAAGAGAGCGCAGCCTTGGCAGAGCATCCTCCTCCCTTCGTAAAGCTCTCCACTGCTGTCACGAGTGCTTTTCAACTGCCTCTCCTTAGAGCTTTCAAGCTTCTTGAAAAAAACCTGCTTCGCATCCTCCTAGCCTTCTCTAGGCTGTGAATCTTTTGCTCAGGTTTCAGTAAGACCTCTAGAACTTCATTTGTAGCTGTCCCCCCCCTTCTCTGCCATCACTCCTGGCCCCCAACCCTGTGTTCTGCAGCATGAGATCCCTCCTCCACCAGCCACCTCCTCTGCCAGTCTCAAAACCAGCGCGACCAGTTTGCACCAAGGGTGTAAAACCCATGACGCACACACACACAGACACGTGCGTGCTTTTGCAGCGGGGAGGGAGCAGATCTCCTGCAATGGTCCAGCTGCAGAGGGGGACCCCACGCTCTGCCTGGCCCCCCTCCAGCCCCGCAGCCAGCGGGGGCGAGGGCAGACCAACCTCTGGCTTTGCTGTCCGGCAGCCGGTCCACCTCCAGGATGAAGTCATCCTTCAGGAAGAGGAAGCCCACGATGGAGAAGAGGTAGACGAGGATGAGAGCCAGGAGGGCTGTCAGCAGGATGGAGCGCCCGTTCCGCGTCACGCTTTTGATGACATTAAACAAGGTCTCCTCGCGGTAGATCAAGTCAAACAGCTGAAAGGAGCCAGGGGGAAAGAAATGCCATGGAGTGCTTTTCTGGATAATGCCTGGCCTACCTCTAGCCCCTTTTATCCTGCGATCTTGGCTCACTCAGCAGACCTTGACCAACTTTCACACAAAGCATTTACGTCTCCCAGTTGACTGTGGGGAGGCAGAGAAGAATGAAGCGACTTATGCACAGCGGGAGAGCCCAGAATAGGACACACGCACCCTGCCTCTGCCCTCCCCAGCTCACGTTGTCTCCCAGCTGACCCAGATAAAGCACAGAACGAGACAGAGAGCAAAAGACCAGGAGAGAGACAGTCACAGATACTGTCAGAAGGTGGAAAGATCAGCCTACGCCAAGATCAGAGCACAGGGAATTGTTCTCACTGCTCTTATCCATCAGCCCCTGGAAGGTGTCACAGGAACCTTCCAGCTTCTAACGGGGCAGACAGGCTGCCACCGCACCCCAAATATCTCCATCTATTGTACCAGGATGCTGTAGAAGAGTTCGTGCACAAAGAGTCCCAGGACGCTCGTGATGATGTAGCCAACGTGGTAAAGAAACTCCACATCCATGATCATGGCCTTGTAGCCTCGGATGAAGGTCCCGCGATTGCCCACGAAGCTCACCACAAACACGATCTTGTTGGTCAGCTGGGGAACAACCAGAGACGGGAGGCAGTGGGGTTTGCTGCACTTTGGGAATGCAGAACAGCCTCGTGGGCTGCTGCACTATTTTTTTTCCAGCACGTGGAGAACTTACATTGAGAGTTCCCAGGATGTTCAGAGTGAGTCCGATCCCCAGGTAATAGATCGAGCGCAGGATCAGCGCCACGAGGAGCGGTCTGACGCCGTAGCGCTTGGTGAACAGGGCCATGATGGAGAAGCAGATCAGAATCCAGAAGAGGAGCGAGATCAGCGGGGAATCCAGCACTCCTGGAGAGAGGAGACCCACAGCAATTACACGGCATGAGATTAAATGAACGCTGCTAATCCGACACCGTGCTGCTGTCCAGGCTGTCCAGAAAAACTAATGTGCTTCTTATCAGGGGGAAGAAAGAGAGAAATGATGCTTGACTGCAAAGACTAGTATTGACTGAGATGGTTCTTGCTGATACACTTTTCTAACATCTTTTATCTGAGATCTCAGAACCACTGTAGGGGATGGAGCAGGAACATTTTCTGTCTGTTTCCCATTTCCCAAACAGGAAAGTGCAGCCTTGGGAGAAGAGACTGCTCCCTAAGAAGGAAAGCTGGGGAAGCTCCCTGTACCAGGAATTTGAGCGACAGGATGAGGGGTAATGGTTTTAAGCCGAAAGGGGGGAGATTTAGGTTAGATATTGGTAAGAATTTTTTCCCTGTGCGGGGGGTGAGGCAGTGGCCCAGGTCGCCCAGGGAAGCTGTGGATGCCCCATCCCTGGAGGGGTTCAAGGCCAGGCTGGATGAGGCTTTGGGCAACCTGGGCTAGTGGGAGGTGTCCCTGCCCATGGCAGGGGGTGGCACTGGGTGGTCTCTAAGGTCCCTTCCAAACCAAACCATCCTGTGACTCTATGAAGAAGGAAGCAGTGGGAGGGCTGCCAACTGAGATTTTGACTCAGTCTCTTCCTTTGCCCAGCAGAAAGGTCTTGGGGCTTTAGGAGTCAAAAGGAGACTGAGGGTGGGGGGTACAGGTAAGGGGACCAGTCTTCCTGCATAGGAGGGTCCCTTTTTCTTCCACTTGGAGGAGCAGCAGACGCTGGGGCACTTACCCATGGAAGTGGCTTCCACATAGGGGTAGAAGAAAGCAATGATAATGTTGATGAAGACAGCCAGGTTGAAGGAAATGCTTCCCCAGAGAGTCATTCTGCGGGAGAACCAGTACATCAGCGGCATGCCTGGGGGGAGAGGAGGCAGACACATACATCTCAGCAGCCTTCTGCCAACCGGGGAAGGATTTGTCCTTCCAGATGTACGAGGGGCTCAGCTCAGGACAGCTGGGGGGCCTGGAGGGACCCTCACCTTCCCCTTCCTTCAATACATTAATAAAAACTCCCCCCTCATCTGCTAAAACAGGAGTGCAGGTTCAAAATAATACTGCTCACATTTCTTGGCTTCTCAGCCTTTTGACCTGCGCTGGCACCTTGGAATGAGATCGGCTCTGTCCTCCTCCTCACCCTCCTGCCCATCTCCCACCTCCTCCAGCCTCGTGTCCTTCAAAACAACCTCGTCTTTGTGTTCTCAGTGCTGCTGCTCGGTCCCAGAGGAGACCCAGCCAGCAATTTCCCATCCATACTGGAAAGTTGTTTCCTGCTAAGATAGTTTTGACTGGATCTGCAAGTGTTTGCAGAGCTGCTACGCTCTCTTTGGCTGCACCGCTGTATTTATAGAGTGACTCTCTCTCGAGCTCCTGTTATTCTAAGCCAGGATTTCCGCCCTGATGCAGCCCTGAAAGCACCTCAGCAGGTCTGCAGGGTGCAGAGGAACAAGTCTGATGAACCATATGTAGCTACTAGATTCTGGCTTAGGAGAAAGCAACTGACAATAAATGAAAAGAGGGCTTTCAGGGGGAAAACACCTGCAGGTGTAATCCCCAGGAACGTGCTGTAAGATGCATTTCAGGCTACCAAGGAGCTGCACTAACAGGCACGGAGGAAACACATCCCTGTGCTCTCAGTTAACCTCCACTCCCTGCAAACTGCTGCCTGGGTTGTACCCAGCAAAGTAAGGGGCTCAGAGATGCGATTCCCAGTCTGCAGCCCCAGTCCCACCCCAGGGGCTGTGCAAAGTGCCCGTGCTGGCCAGGGGCAGCCCGCAGGGAAGGTGTGCTTTGCTCTTACTGCGCAGTTTCTTCTGCCACTCCATCTCGTTGTGCAGGAAGGATGACTGGTCGAAGAAATCACTGACTTTGCTGCCCTGCTCGTCCTGCTCCGTGGTGGTGAAGAGCCGGTACTTGGTCTCCTTGGTGAGGAACTCGCAGATGCCAGGCACCGGGAAGATGATCTGCTCCATGCTGCGGTCCAGGCGCACAATCTGCAGGACGCAGGGCGAGGGGGAGGCTGCTGTCAGATCCTGCTCCTGCTTCAGTTTCCTCTTTCCTAGATCCAGCTGTGCCTCCCCCTCCTCGCTCCCACTCCATCGGGATCCAAATATCACTGGCCACGGGTCTGTAACACTAAAAACCGACCCAAAGGCAGCCCTGGCTGTGCTGGAGGAGAGCACACGAACCCGTCCTGGCCCATATTCAAGGAGATCCATGCCAACAACATTAGATCTGAGGAAGAAATGCTTTCCTGGGTGAGGCAGTGGCCCAGGGTGCCCAGAGAAGCTGTGGATGCCCCATCCCTGGAGGGGTTCAAGGCCAGGCTGGATGAGGCTTTGGGCAACCTGGGCTAGTGGGAGGTGTTCCTGCCCATGGCAGGGGGTGCAACTGGATGGTCTCTAAGGTCCCTTCCAACCCAAACCGTTCTGGGATTCTATAAAACAGGGCTGGGAAAGCTCTCAGTGCAAAACAACTGGGCACAAGGCAGCTGGAGCACACATGGGATTCACCGACCACCTGCCTACGGGTGACCCAACAGCTGAGGGCTCTTGCCTCAATCTGGGACGTGTGCTTCTCGTAATACGCCAGCGGGTCTTCCTCTTCCTCCTGGACCGGGGCCGTCGACTTCAGCATCTGCGTCAGCTGCTTGTTATTGAGGCTGAGCTGGGGTGCGGGGAGAGGGAGAGAGGATGAGAGGGGGAGTCACGTCTAACTCTGCCCTGACAACAGCATTCCTCAAAATCTACCAACGCTGATGAGGTTTCAGGGAAAAAGCAAATGAATTAAAGCTTCCTAAAGGGGTACGAGCCCTCCTGGAGGTGACAGACATTCGATTCCCTGCAATAATTACATCCGAACGCTACTAATCCACAAATTACAAATCAATGCCCACAAAACCCCAGGGAAATCATAATCCTGCTGAGCCTCATTCGGGATCTAAGGTATGTAGGCAAGAAGTGACAGCAAAGGACTCAGCCCTCCTTTTTCTGAAGGGAAGGGGAGAAAGCAGGTACCAGCAGGACCCCTCAAGGCCACCAGCTTGTCCCTGCGGCAAGCTGGATGCCACCCTACAGCACAGCCCCCCAAGTGTGCCTCTCCACAGCCTGGTACCCATGCCTTTGGGCTTGTCGTTTTGGCTACAAGGGCACTGATGAGTCTTTTTCTCTTTAGTCCCCCAGGGAACACCAAACCCCATCAAATCTTAAAGAACCAAGCCCAGGGTGGCTCAGCAAGGGTGGGAGAAGCAGCTCTTGGCTCTCCCTCCGTTCCCAAGGTCCCTCCGTACCATGGATGAGATGCCCTCCTCCTCTTCCTCCTGGATTCGCTTCACTGGCTTCAGGAGCTGCTGCAGGGACTTGTTGTGTCGGGAGAGCTGGAAGAAGGACAGCGATAGCAGGGTGAGCACAGGCTGGCGGACAAGGGAGTGGGAGACGGGGTGCACAGGGAGCAGGACAGCCAGCAAGCCTGCGGGCTGGCTTCTCATGGGAGCCAAAAGCCCATTTCCCACCCATGCCTCCCCAAGGAAGCCAGCCTGATCGGAGGAAATGTGAATAAATACAGAGAAAAATGTGCAAATCAGTGAGTGGGAGCCCAGCCCAGCACTGGGAGCCCAGTCTGGCACTGGGAGCCCAGTCCAGCAGGGACCCTGCCGCTCAGTACCTGCAGCGCCAATATATAAATGTTGTGGCCGACTTCCCGGGGGGAAACCTCGGCGTTTTCACACTCCTCCTCCTGCAAATAGGCCTTCTTAATCACGTCGACCTGCAAGGCAGAAAAGCCTGAGGAACCGTGAGCCTCTCCCCATCTCTCCCCATCCCCTTGCCTTGTTTTCCTCCTTTGGCCACAAATGGTTCTGGGAAAACCACGCGACCAGCATGCTCGTGCAGAAGGCGGTGACCAGCAGGATGGCAGAGGAGAAGGTTATTGGATTGTAAATCAGAAAATGCACCAGGACCCACAGGTGGGGGGAGGCTGGGGGCTCCGTGGGGCAAGGTTGGGGGTGTCTCGCTGCCAGCCCTTACCAGTTCCTGCGGGCGGAGGCTGATGAGGATCCGCTCGGCGTTTTCGCTGTCGTGTCTGCTCTCCATGAGAGCCAGGAGGAGCTTGGAGGCATTGTCCTGGCGAGGAGAAACCCTTGCTGAGGGGACCTGTGCCCTGCCTCTGCCCAGGGCCTCAGAGTGGGCAGAACTCCCCCGATCAGCTGCAACCACCCCCATACTAGAAGCATCCAAGCCTCGCATGGGGAGATGCACCAGCCCTGCCCCCCCAAGCCCATGTGCTCCCACCCTCAACGAGCCCAATGCATGCCCAGTCCCCACTCCAGCGGCCACCACACCCCACAGCACCCCCCACGGCCACGCCAGCAAGCCCACGCAGCGATGCCCACGTGGCGATGCCCATGCATGTCCCCACCATCCCAGCCCCAGGCTCTGCCCACCTTCAGCTGCAGGACCAGGTCCATGCGGTACTTGCAGAGGGGACTGATGTCGTTGAGGATGAGGGCAGTGATGATGTCGATCCCGTTGGACTCGTGGGTGACGATGCAGCTCTGGGGGAGCAAAACAATGTGTTATCCTCCCAGCTTCATGTTCCAACACCACCCAGGTCTGAACCAGCGCCCTGCCTACAGCACTAACCCTGCCCCATCACCCCAAGCACCCCAAATCTCTCTCTTTCAGAAGGGCACCATTTCCATCACTATATTATTTAACCCCACTTGCACCTACCCAAGCAGCAGATCACAACCCACACAGCATCCCTGTGCACCCTGGGCATCCCTTGCTGCCCACGTTCTCCTCCTGTTCACACCCTGAACCCAAAAACTAGCCCTGGCCCTGCTGCCTTCCCATGCATCCCCCTCAAATCCTCCCTTGGGTGACCCCAAAACACCCACAGACCTGGTTCTCGTGGCAGGGCCCCTGGCAGTACTCGGTCAGGGTCTCCAGGGTCTGGGTGATGAGGGCCACGTTGTACTCATTGATGTAGAGACCCAGCAGCCCCAGCCCCCCCGTGGTGCTGCCGCACATGATGTCGAGGAACTGCAGCGTCTCGCACACCAGGTTGTAGTTGGTCTTGTTGTTCTGGCACCGGAGGAAGTTCTGGCGAGGAAAGTCTGGAGTTATGGGGCTGAGCAGCATCCCTCTGACAGGGGTCAGTCCTGATCCCCCTCCCAAACCCCCTCCAGCTGCAGTTTGATGGAGAATTGGGCTGGGACCACTCCTGGAATACACAGACCTCCAAATGCAGCACTCAGTCCCACGGACAGTCGTGCCATGAAGGGCTCCTTCCACACCATGAAAAGCCATCCATAAGGATGGTGCATTTGCAGATGGGGAAACTGAGGCACAGAGCAGCTGGTGCAATGCCTTTACGGCCCCAATTAGGGCAAATCCCAGCCTTGCCTCACCCCAGACCTATGGCTGCCCTGATCCCCCGACCTTCACAGCCCCAGGACCAACCTGCAGGTCCCGGTTGTGGTTCTCACAGAGCAGCTGCAGGAATCGCAGGATAGGCTCCATGATCAGGACCGTCACCCCCATCTCGTTGTTCTGCCCCTGCTCCCCAGTGTCATGGCCCTTCCGGAACCCTATGGCCATGGGGTAGCGGGAGGGGGTGCCAGGCATCACGAAGGTGTCTCCTCGTCCTAGAGAGCAAGCCAACCTCGTTAGCACCGTGCTCTCCAACGAGCCAGACGTTGGCTCTGCCAAGGGGACGCAGCCCTGTACCTTTGGTGCCAGGGTCAGGCTCGTCTTTGTCCTCACGGGGCTTGTTCCCGATGTCACTCATGTTGACAGACACCGTAGACTTGGTCTCCTGCTGTGCCTTCTTCATCCGGTCATGCAAAACTTTGAAGAACTTCTCGGACTTCTTGTCGCTCATCATGAGGTTGTAAAAGGATTTCTGGGAGGAGGGAGGACAGCCGTTTGTGTATCCGTCATGGGGTCCCAATTACCCCTCCCTGCCCCGCTGCTCTGGCACCCTCCAGCACTCAAGATCTCATCTGAGAGAACCTGGCAAGGGGGTTTATTTCCACGCAGCAGCAGCACAGCCCTGCCACTGCGCTCTCCTTCACCCCAGGCAGGGTTAGGGACAGAGCAAGCAGCAATTACAGCACTTCCAAGCCTGGAACCCTACTGGTTTTTTCATGTACAATTTTTCAGCTTCCCTGTGGTGCTAAAAGATTCAAGATAACCCACGAGTCACTACCCAAAAGCTGCAGCCCTGAGCCATTTTAGCGATACCCGGCAGAGGGCATCAGCATTACTCCAGAAACACCCTGCAACACCCTGCCCCTCTCTCAGCATCCAGCCCTCCAGCTGCAAAACTCAAAACCAGACACATTGCTGCATTTCCTCCTCTGGCTGGCCAGCAAACACATGCAACCAAACAGTATTTTGGCAAAGTCTGCTGCCCAGGGGCCAGCCCAGGACTGAGCACTGCCCTGCACCCTCATCTTCCATCCTCTGGGACCATTGCACTGCACCCATCAAACCGCGGCTGCCCCATCCCCTGGATCCACCCTGCAGCCGGGGCTCGGCACCTGGATCTCGGTGTTGCCTCCGTCCAGCAGCCGGATGGCAAGCAGGATGCTCTCTTGGAAGATCTTCTCGTTCTTGGTGTTCATGATGAGGTCGGCCACCAGCTTGGTGGCCCCTTCTCGGTCCAGCCGGCACTGGACAGCAGCGATAGCCGACCAGTCCTGGTCTTGACCTGCATAAGGGGACACGGAGGGATGTCACGGTGCAGGAGAGCGAGCACAGCAAAACCACTGCCAGGGGCATCCCAGTCCCATGCCTTCATCACCCCAAATCCTTTACTCCCACGGAGGCAGGGGCATGGTGACCAGTTACAGCCCTGATCCCACCACGGCTCGGGAGCTGGGCATTCGAGGGGTATGTGAGCAGCACAGAGACACGGGGAAGGTGCAGGAGAGAGACACTCACCTCCCCCAGCAGCATCCATGATTTCTCCCTTGGAGCCAGACTTCTTGTTCTGCAGGTAATTGTTCAGGAGCATTTTCCGCAGCAGGTTGCCCTGCCAAGACAAATAAACGTCATGAGGCTCCCAACGCCAGGGCCAGAGCGGAAGGAGGCTGGTGGAGACGCGGGGAAAGGTCCGTGTAGCTGTCTCGGAGCTGCAGCGGGGAGGGCACTGCCAGCCTGGGGGGCAGGGGCTGCACAGACAAGGAGCAGGGCTGAGGACGTGCCATGGGACCGTGGTGCTCACCCTCTCGCCGTACTTGTTCCTTTTCACCAGCATCTGCTGCAGTGTCCTCAGCACCTTGATGCACAGCTTCTCCTCCGTCTCCATGAGGTCCTTGGTGTGCTGCACCAGCCTGGCACAGCAGAGCCACCGTCACACAGCCAAAAGGGTCCCCAAGGGCACAGCCCCACCACCCCTCCGCTCTGCAGGTGCACACCAGGATGCACAACCCACAAAGGATGGAGGTCACCAGCCCTCCCCAGCCAACCCCATGGCAACCGCAGAGCATCCTCACTTGGACAGGAAACCTCCACTCTCGCATCGCTGAAACGCCTCCGTCCCCTCCATGAAAAGCAGCTCGGGCCGGTGGAGGACATCCACCAGGACGGACAGCTCAGCCTCCACCAGTGGTTTCAAACGATCCTCCAGGGCGCTGATGATGTCCTACAAGCCACAGAACATACCTTTAGGAGACGTGAGCACGGGAGAGGGACCCCTGCAATGCCAGCACCTTCTTGCTGCCATGCACTGACCCACACCACCATCATCCCCCTGCCCCATACCTGCAGCTTCTCTATGATGTTCTTGTAGTCCCACTGGTTGGGGGTGGTGGAAACGCGGGGAAAGGTCCGTGTGGCCGTTTTGTAGCTGGACGCGTTCCTCTGCACGGTGCTGGTGGAGCTGCTGTTGAGCAGGGAGCTGATGTGGGCGTCCAGGTCCATGGGCAGAGCGATGGAGCGGCTCTTGGCTGCGGGAGACAGAACCAGGATTGGGATCAGCAACCACCCAGCTCATCCCATCAGCTGGGTCCTATGCCACCGCCTTGGGCCAGGCACCCCTTCACCAGCTCTTTCATTTGCCTCTGCACGGTGCTGGTGGAGCTGCTGTTGAGCAGGGAGCTGATGTGGGCGTCCAGGTCCATGGGCAGAGCGATGGAGCGGCTCTTGGCTGCGGGAGACAGAACCAGGATTGGGATCAGCAACCACCCAGCTCATCCCATCAGCTGGGTCCTATGCCACCGCCTTGGGCCAGGCACCCCTTCACCAGCTCTTTCATTTGGGTTAAATATAAAAGTAAAGCTCTCCAGGCTAGTGAGGGGGGGAGTATCTCCATCCATCCCTCCCCACTGCAGCCCAACACTGCCCACAGCCCCCCCAGCCCAATGTAGGACGGGAGGAGGCACCACCTCCAGTTTTTGGTTGGGAGAGCCCAGCGTGGAGATGCTGTAAGCACCCTGGCTAAAATTACCAAGGGAAATCCCCACCCAGTGCCTAACCACCAAGCAATCCTTTCCACGCGGTGACTCAGTGCTCACAACCTGAGTCAGGCTGAGGGCAAAGTCCCAGCGAGGGAAAACCACCATAAAACGCTGGCTTTGTTTCCAGGCCCTTCACCAGCAGGGACACACCAGGGATCTCGCAACCAAGGCCAGGCTTCAGTTATCCCCACACCACCCTGGTCACGCCCGGAGATGTAGCTCAAAAAAAAAAAACACATCCCAGAGCCAAACCTCCCCATTCCTGGCCAGCAGCCTCTCACTGGGGTGCCCTGCCAAGACCCGCCGTAGAGAAGATGGCTCTTGCTTAGTGCTGGAGCAGAGGCAGCCGAGAGTGACTGCATCCTCCTGGTCGGCTGGGCACAGAGCATCCCTCCGGCGCGGGTCCTTACCGACCATGGCCAGCGTGCGGATACAGGCTTCCACCGAGCTCTTGTGCTGCTGCTGCAGCCAGGGACACTCCAGCAGCCTCATGGTGGACTGGAGAAGCTGCACCACGATGGTCTGGTGGGTCTGAAGGAGAGAGCAGGCAGGTATGGATCAATGCAAGGTGTGTCTGGACCTCGTTTTGGAGAGGGGGGTTCAATGAGCCTCGTTCCTCCCCCGGCCACAGCCTCATTACCTGCAGCGAGGTGCTGTTCTCCGAGAAGGGGGAGCTGAAGAACGCGTTGATGGTGTCCAGCACCACCGTCAGCACGTACTTCTCCAGCGTGGGATCTGGCAGGCGCTTCTCTCGCTTCTTGCACATCTGCGAGGAGAAGGGAGGATGCTGATGGCACCAGGGCGAGCGTGCATCCTGGTCAGATGCTGCTGGCACTGCTGGGACCTTGCTGAGCCAAGGGACATGGCTCGTGACACAGCTCCTGGGTCTATGGCAGAGCTCTGACTGCTCCCCAGCCCCTCATGTGGCAGCTACACAAGTCCCCATGGTGCCCATGCCCCATGACTGGCTCCCCAGGTTTCGAGGGAGCCTTGGTGACACCATCCCCACTCGCTGCAGCAGCCATCGCTGCTGTGTCCCTCCCACCCAACCCTCCCCACGCACCCGGGCCATGTCCAGGGTGAAGTTCTCAAAGAGGGTCCAGATGTGGTTACTGGTGTAGATCTCCTTCATCTCCACTTCTGTGTCCACGTAGCAGTGGTTGACGAAGTTCACGTAAGCCATCTTCACCTGCCGGAAAGGGAGGGGGGCACAGGCACCATCAGGAGAAGACAATCAGTGGAAAGCCACTGGTACCCTCCTTGCTGGGCACCCTGTACCTCTGTGATGCAATCCTCGTGGGTCACCACCCGCACCACATCCTCCAAGGGCAGCAGGGACGTGCACTTGATCTCCGTGTAGACGTTCTTGCCCTCGGCGCAGGCGGCCAGCAGGTCTACCAGCGAGATGTGGTACATCAGCGGGCTGTTCTCCTCCACCCCGTCCCTAGCTGCTGTCATCATCTCCAGGAGGGTGGACAGTGAAGCCTTGTCGTTGTAGAAAACCACCACATCATCCCCGGCGTTGGTGAGCTGCAAGGGAAGGGCCAGTGGTCACCGCTCCAGAGAAAGAGGGTCAAGAACCTCAGAAGGCAGAAAGCGGTGTCCTCTGCAGCGGGGCGACGAGAGGCAGCAGCCGGTGGAGGGCAAAAGGGCCGTGCATTTACAGGGAAAACCTAGCATTTGCAGTGTAATAAAAAAAAAATCACAGCTTGTGGGACTCCAAAGTGGTTATTGACTCTTGGACCTTGCACTAAGCTCCTGGAGATGTTTCCTACTCCAGGGAGAAGCCAGCATGGCTGGGAAGGCTGCTCCTCAAGGAAGAAGCCAGTGGTGCACCTCTGGGGTGCCCATGCCCTGCTACACCCCCCGCTCACACCTCATGGGCTTGGGGGAGAGGTGCTCACCTCGGTCATGATCATGTCCTGGCACTTCTTCACGTACTTGCCCTCAGCCTTGATGATGGTGTGGAGGAAGTCGAGGTACTGCACGTGGCGGCCGTGGGTGGCCACGCAGTGGATGAAGTGCTGTGGCACTGTCTCGTTGATCTCCGAGCAGAGCTGGTAGTTGTTGAGGAAGATGTGCTGCATCGTCTCAGCCTCCAGAAGCTGTGGGACCAGAGGAGCAGAGTGAGGCTGGAGTGCTGCGAGAACAGCCTCCCTTCCTGCCTTGACCTTTCCTCTCCCTGGGTCTCCTCCTGGCTTTTGTAGCTCTTGCTCTCAGCCCAAGGAGCAGTACCAAAGTCTCTCCCTGTGCTGCTCCACCCTTTGGTCCCCTCTCCTTACCCCTGGGGTCAGGAAGAGGTTGAGGTGTTTGTGCAGCAGGGCTTGGTTTTCCTGATTGCCAGCACAAAACTTCTGCAGAAACTGGTGGGTGAATTTCAGGATCTCTATCATCTTGGCATCACCCTGAGGAAGGGCAGAGAAGAGAAATACCCAGAGTTGGCAAGGGATGGAGAGCAGCAGCAGGCTGCTGCCCCCCCTGCCCTGCCCAGCTGCAGGACCCAGCCGTGCAGGGGGGTCCCTGCATCCCCCAGCCCTTGCCCTGGACACCCAGCTGCTTCCCCCCCACCTTCTCATACGGGATCTGCAGCAGATCCAGCATCACTTTGTGGGCGTCCATATTCTTCAGCAGGCGCTGCTGCTTCTTGCGCACTTGCTCTCCGACCCCGCACATCTTATTCAGCCGCTCCAGGATCTGGGGAGAGAAGGACCATGGCAGAGGGGAACCGAACCTGGGAGCCCATCAGGATGGCCACCAGCACTGGGGGCTTGTTTGCAATCCAGATGTGCCCTCCATAATCCCAGGTGCTCCCTGCATCGCTCACAAATTGTGGCACCCCCCTCAAAAATCCTCTTTGCAGTGCCACACAGAGAGCCCTCATACCCATCACCAACCCTCTCCCCTCCAGTCCCCCCAGTTCGAAGTTCCCTCATGAGCCCTAGGGACATAACAGGGCTCATTTCTG